GCCCGGGCCCCGATGAGTAACTCCCGCAACAACCGGGTGATGGTGGAGGGGGTCGGCGCCCGCGTAGTGCGCGGCCCAGACTGGAAGTGGGGCAAGCAGGACGGCGGCGAGGGCCATGTGGGCACTGTGCGGAGCTTCGAGAGCCCGGAGGAGGTCGTGGTGGTGTGGGACAACGGCACAGCCGCCAACTACCGCTGCTCTGGGGCCTACGACCTGCGCATCCTGGACAGCGCGCCGACCGGTAAGTCGGATCTCAGGGCCGGGGCAACGAGCGTGGGAGGAAGGGGCGAGGCCAGCCGCGGGACGCCTGTCCTGCAGTGCCGGGCCACGGGGAATTTGAGGTTCCAAACCCGGTAGACACAAACTAGTTTCCTAGGAAGGACATCAAGTTTCCTAGATGAAAAGCATCGCAGACAACAGATTTCCTTCGCTTTGGGGCAGGGGGCCGGAGAGCCTGTCTAATAAGCATTGACATTAATCAGCCATCGAGTTATAACTGTCTGATGGGAGGCTTGCCTTGCCATCTGGTGTGGAGTTGCCAGGGGCCCGTCCCTTGGTGCCTTCGCTTTGTTGAACTTGTCTTTTTCCTTCCCACCGGTGACACAGAATGAGAATGATTTATGACTTCAGTTTATAAATTCCATTTGGGACTGTGAAAAATGCATTTTCGCCCAAATTGCTTAATTATATATGCTTGTAGCAATAGAGCTGTTGATTTCGTGGTGTGTGTGTGTGTGTGTTGTGAGACTTTTTCCAGAGGGAAGACAGCTAACGCCATTCTTTTTCTTTGATTAGAATCCTGTCTTAGTAACATGATGTTGAAATTCTATACATTTAACCCGAGAGTTAGTGATCTTAATGGTTTACTCTGTAATTTTTTTTATGTGACAAACAGAAGAGTTGCTCTCACAAAATAAATACGATTTATTTTAATCTATTTTCACTTAGATCTATTCTTGTTTTTTTTGTTGTTGTTGTTGTTGTTGTTTTCTTTTGAGATAGGGTTTCTCTGTGTAACCACAGCTGTCCTGGAACTAGCTCTGTAGACCAGGCTAGTCTCAAACTCAGAGTTCTGCCTGTCTCTGTCTTCATAAAATCATGAGCTTCCACTGCCCGGCATGGATATGTTCTTGATTATGTAGTCATTTAGAAAGTTATAATTGAAATTGTATTATGCTTCAGAATTTTTAAATAAGATACTACTAAAACAGTGAGTTTGGCAGAGGCTAATCTTGAAGTGGATGAATAGTTTCTACTACCAGCAGGAAGGAGTTAGCATAAACCAACTCAATCTTGAACAAGCACTTTATAAACTTTGTTAAACTTTTAAAGAGATGGTCTCATGCAGTCCACTGTCTTGGACTTAGTGTATTGATGAGGCTGACTCTGCATTTTCGATCTTCCTGCCTCAGCCTCCACAAGTGCTGGGATTTCAGGCTTGTGTCACCAATACCCAGCTGAAAATAGTATTTTGTTTGGGCTAGTTTTTTTTTTTTTTCTGAAAAGGACATATGTTGTATATTTTTGCAGTTGCAAACACAGATGTGAATATACTGAAAATACAAATCTCTTTTTCCCCTTAAATAATATAACAATAAACTATATTTAGTTGATGTGGGATTCCCCTCTGCATGCTATGAATACCATTGGTTAATAAAGAAGCTGCTTTGGACCTATTGTAGTGCAGATAGGGCAAGGTGGAAATTCCAAGCAGAGAGAGGAGGAGAGAGTATTTGGAGTTGAAGAGAAGCCATGTAGTTGCTGCAGGAGATAGAAGCCAGACGCTAATAGAAATGGGTTAATTTAAGATAAAAGATCTAGCTAGAAATATGCATAAGCTAATAGGCCAAGCAGTGTTTTAATTAATACAGTTTCTGTGTGCTTATTTCGGGTCTGGATGCTGGGAAATGAACTAGCAGCCTCCGCCAACATTTAGTTTTTTGCACTTTTTGCACAAGGGGTAGATTTTGTCTGGTGTACAAGCGTGTGGAGGTCAGATGTTGGTGTTTCCTCCTTAGACAGTTCATTGCTTTTTGAGACAGGGTTGCTCACTGAATGTGGAACTCACTGGTTGGTTAGTCAGATTGAGCTGCCAGCCCTAGGGGTCTTCTTGTTACTGTCTCTGTATAGCCCTTACTGCCCTAGAACTCTGTCTGTAGACCAGTCTGACCTTAAATACACAGAGATCATCCTGTTTCTGCCGTCCAAGTACTGTGGTTAAAGATGTGCAGCATCACTGCCAGGCAAAGAATTCAATGGTTTTCCTTTCTTTTTTATTTTTGTTTTTTTGAGGCAGGGTTTCTCTGTGTAGCCCTGACTGTCCTGGAACTCATTCTGTAGACCAGGCTGGCCTTGAACTTAGAGATCTGTCTCCTTCTACCTCTGAAGTACTGTTATTAAAGGTGCCACTACAGGGCTGGAGAGATGGCTCAGTGGTTAAGAGCATGAGCTGCTCTTCCAGAGGTCCTGAGTTCAATTCCCAGCAGCCACATGGTGGCTCACAGCCATCTGTAATGAGATCTGGTGCCCTCCTCTGGTGTGCAGGCATACATGGAGGCAGAATGTTGTATACATAATAAATAAATAAATCTTAAAAAAAATAAAGGCGCCACTACAGCTCAGCAACATAATATAGTTGAATAATTCTTTTGAGGAAGGCCTTATTCTTTTTTTTAAAAAAATATTTATTGAGCTATACATTGTTCCCTGCTCCCCTCCCTGCCTCTCCTCTCCCCACCTCAACCCTCCCCCAAGGTCCCCATGCTCCCAATTTACTCAGGAGATCTTGTCTTTTTCTACGTTCTACTTCCTATGTAGATTATATCTATGTAAGTCTCTTAGTGTCCTCATTGTTGTCTAAGTTCTCTGGGATTGTGATTGGTGTGCTGCTTTTCTTTGCTTTATGTTTAAAAACCACGTATGAGTGAGTACATGTGATAATTGTCTTTCTGTGTCTGTGTTCCTTCACTCAAAATAATGTTTTCTAGCTCCATCCCTTTTCCTGCAGATTTCAAGCTTTCGGGTTTTTTTTTCTGCTGTGTAGTACTCCACTGTGTAAATGTACCACATTTTCCTTATCCACTCTTCAATCGAGGGACATTTAGGTTGTTTCCAGGTTCTGGCTGTGACCAGCAAAGCTGCTATGAACATAGTTGAGCACATGTCCTTGTGGCACGATTGAGCGTCCTTTGGGTGTATACTTTTTCTTCTCTAAGGTTGAGTGTGGCTGGCTTTATGTTGAGGTCTTTGATCCATTTGAATTTTGTGCATGGTGATAGATATGGGTCTATTTTCATTCTTCTACATGTTGATATCCAGTTATGCCAGCACCATTTGTTAAATATGCTTTCTTTTTTCCATTTGATATTTTTTGTTTCTTCATTAAAAATCTGGTGTTTGTAGATGTGAGGATTGATATCCGGGTCTTCTGTTCGGTTCCATTGGTCCTTCTGTCTGTCCTTATGCCAATACCAGGCTGTTTTCAGTACTATAATCTGTAGTAGAGTTTGAAGTCAGGGATTGTGATGCCTCCAGAAGTTCTTCTATTGTACAGGATTGTTTCGGCTATCCTAGGCTTTTTGCTTTTCCATATGAAGTTGAGTACTGTTCTTTCGAGGCCTTTGAAGAATTTTGCTGGGATTTTGATGGGCATTGCGTTAAATCTGTAGATGGCTTTTAGTAAAATTGCCATTTTTACTGTTAATTCTGACTACCCAAGAGCATGGGAGATCTTTCCAGTTTCTGGTGTCTTCTTTAATTTCTTTCTTCAAAGATTTAAAGTTCTTGTCATACAAGTCTTCCATTTGTTTGGTTAGAGTTACTCTGAGATATTTTATGCTATTTGTGGCTATTGTGAAGGGTGTTAATTCTCTGATTTCTTCCCCAGCCCTTTTATCATCTGTGTACAGGAGAGCTACTGATTTTTTGAGTTAATCTTGTATCCTGCCACATTGCTGAAAGTGTTTATGAGTTGTAGAAGTTCCTTGGTAGAATTTTTGGGATCGCTTATGTAAACTATCATAACATCAGCAAACAGTGAGAGTTTGACTTCTTTTCCAATTTGTATCCCCTTGATCTCCTTTTTGTGTCTTATTGCTCTAGCTAGGACCTTAAGAACTATATTGAATAGATATGGAGAGAGTAGGCAACCTTGTCTTGTTCTTGATTTCAGTGGAATTGCTGGGAATTTCTCTCCATTTAGTTTGATATTGGTTGCTGGCTTACTGTGTATTGCCTTGATTATGTTTAGGTACATTTCTTGTATCCCTGTTCTCTCCAAGACTTTTATCATGAAGGGATGTTGTATTTTGTCAAAAGCTTTTTTGGCATCTAATAAGAAAATCATGGTGGTTTTTATTTTTCAGCTTGTTTATATGATGGATTAGGTTGACAGATTTTTGTGTTGGACCATCCCTGCATCTCTGGGATGAAGCCAACTTGATCATGGTGGATGATGGTTTTGATGTATTCTTGGATTTGATTTACTAGTATTTTATTTATTATTTTTGTATCAATGTTCATGAGGAGATTGGTCTGTAATTCTCTTTCTTAGTAATGTCTTTCTGTGGTTTGGGTATCAGGGTAATTGTAGCCTCATAAAAAGAGTTTGGCAATGTTTCTTCTGTTTCTATTGTGTGGAATAATTTGAGGAGTATTGGTATTAGTTTTTCTTTGAAAGTCTAATAGAATTCTGTGCTGAAACCTTCTGGTCCTGGGCTTTTTTTGATTTGAAGACATTTGATGACTGTTTCTATTTCTTCAGCAGTTATAGGTCTGTTTAATTTGCTTATCCAGTGTTGATTTAATTTTGGTAAGTGATATTTATCCAGAAAGTTGTCCATTTCCTTTAAGTTTTCCAATTTTTTGGAGTACACATTTTCAAAATATGACTTGATGATCCTCTGTGTCTGTTGTTGTATCCCCTTTTCATTTCTGATTTTGTTAATGTGGATATTCTCTCTCTGCCTTTTGGTTAGTTTGGATAAATGTTTGTCTATGTTGATTTTTCTCAAAGAACCAGCTCTTTGTCTCATTGATTTTTTGTATTGCTTTCTTTGTTTCTATTTTGCTGATTTCAGTTCTCACTTTATTTCCTGCAGTCTAGTTCTCTTGGGTGAGTTTGCTTCTTCTTGTTCTAAAGTTTTCAAATGTTCTGTTAATTCACTAGTGTGGGATTTTTCCAGCTTCTTTATGTAGGCGTTTAGTGCTATGTTCTTGCCTTTTAACACTGCTTTCATTGTG